GTCGTGAGGGAGCTTGTTCCACCATTGGGGTGCCAGAGCAGCGAACAGTTTCGACTGGGCTGAGCGGGAACTATGCTTCCGCAGAGGTAGGGGGGCCAGCAGGCCAGAGGTGGATGAACGCAATGCCCTCGTTTGGGTGTAGGGACTGATCAGAGCCTGAAGGTATGGAGGTGCCATTCCCCTCACAGCTCCGTAGGCAAGCACCATGGTCTTGTAGCAGATGCGAGCTTCAACTGGAAGCCAGTGGAGTGTGCGGAGGAGCGGGGTGACGTGAGAGAACTTGGGAATGTTGAACACCAGACGGGCTGCGGCATTCTGGATGAGTTGTAGGGGTTTAATGGCACAGGCAGGGAGCCCAGCCAACAGCGAGTTGCAGTAATCCAGACGGGAGATGACAAGTGCCTGGATTAGGACCTGTGCCGCTTCCTGTGTAAGGTAGGGTCGTACTCTCCGAATGTTGTAGAGCATGAACCTACAGGATCGGGTCACCGCCTTGATGTTAGCGGAGAACGACAGGGTGTTGTCCAAGGTCACGCCAAGGCTCTTCGCACTCTGGGAGGAGGACACAACGGAGTTGTCAACCGTGATGGCGAGATCATGGAACGGGCAGTCCTTCCCCGGGACGTATAAAATCGAGCACACAGCCATGCAATCTCCATAGAAAATCATTGACAGTAGAATTACCTTACTGAAGAGCTCAGTGACTTTCAATGTGGCACCGTCATAGGTATTTTTATTTATTTTATTTATTTGCCCCTTTTTCTCCCCAATTTCGTCATATCAAATTGGTAGTTACAGTCTTGTCCCATCGCTGCAACTCCCGTACGGACTCGGAGACTGTGTGAATCAGGCCTTCATGGTCGAATTGCTGCAAAGAAACCAGTACTAAAGGACACCAATAAGAAGAAGAGACTTGGTTGGGCCAAGAAAAATGATCAATGGACATTAGACTGGTGGAAATTTGTCCTTTAAATTTGTCCTTTGGTCTGGAGTCCAAATTGGAGATTTTTGGTTCCAACCGCTGTGGCTTTGGGAGACGCGGTGTGGGTGAACGGATGATCTCTGCATGTGTATTTCCCACCGTAAAGCATGGAGGAGGAGGTGTTATGGTGTGGGGGTGCTTTGCTGGTGACACTGTCTGTGATTTATTTAGAATTCAAGGCAAACTTAACCAGCATGGCTACCACAGCATTCTGCAGTGATACGCCATCCCATCTGGTGTGGGCTTAGTGGGACTATCATTTGTTTTTCAACAGGACAATGACCCAAAACACACCTCTAGGCTGTGTAAGGGCTATTTGACCAAGGAAAGTGATGGAGTGCTGCATCAGATGACCTGGCCTCCACAATCCCCCGAACTCAACCCAATTGAGATGGTTTGGGATGAGTCGGACGGCAGAGTGAAGGAAAAGCAGCCAACAAGTGCTCAGCATATGTGGGAACTACTTCAAGACTGTTGGAAAAGCATTCCAGGTGACATATAGTCAAAATAAAGAAAAACTCTTAAATTAGTAGGTGTGTCCAAACTTTTGACTGGTACTGTATGCACACACACACACACACAAACTCACACCACAGGAGATTGGTGGCACCTTAATTGGGAGAACGGGCTCATGGTAATGGCTGGAGCGGAATATGTGGAATGGTATCAAATACATCAAAAACATGGTTTCCATGTGTTTGAAACCATTCTATTTGCTCTGTTCCAGCCATTATTATGAGCCGTCCTCCCCTCAGCAGGCTCCACTGACACACACACACACACACACACACACACACACACACACACACACACACACACACACACACACACACACACACACACACACACACACCACACACCACACACCACACACCACACACCACACACATACCACACACCACTACCTATCTGGCCAGCTATCCTCCAGCTGCTGTTGCCATGGATATCCTAGCCGATAGATGGATGGCTGCAGGTGCTGTGAGAGAATGCCCTGAGGCCTAAGAATCTGCTGGGCTTTGCTGTGTGATGATGGTGTTTGTGTGTGTGTGTGTGTGTGAGTTTGTGTGTGTGTGCGTGTGCATAAGTGCATGTGTGTGTGTGTGTGTGTGCGTGCGTGCGTGTGTGTGTGTCTACCTGTCTGTTTGCATCCATAACATCTATCTTGTAGGCATTAAACTGACTTGAAACAGAGGGACCATCTCATTGGACTAGCCCGTCACACCCGAAGACAGCTGTGCAGTAGCAGAACAGACATGACTGAATAATGTGCTTCTGTCTCAGATCACTGGCAGGGCTCCTGTATGTCAGTGCTACACTTCTTGAAGCTTATCAACAGTGAGCAATAGGCAGGGAGAAGAATGAGGCGAATGAGAAAACAGCCTGGAAGGACACTTAGTAAGACTGGCAGTTTATTTCGATACACATAGTTTGCCCCTCTGACAAGAATACCATAAAATGGCTTCTGTTAATGACAGTAAGAGTCGTCCATGTCTTCTCCATCCTCGTTCTCCCCTTTAAGAACTCTCCGTCTTTTCTCCGTCTTTTCTTTTGTTCTTGCTGTCACTTCCATACTTTGGGTGTTTAAAAAATAAATAAAATCACAGTGGTTATCTCTGTCTTTGTCAGTCTGTCTGTTCTCTCCTTCTCTCTCTCTGCAACCCCCCCCCACATACCAAACAGTGTTTGTGATTACGTCTGGTTTGGGATGAAGCGGCATCATGCTTTTAGAACACAGACATGGGGATTCTCTATAGGGGGGGTCCGCTTGTGAAAACATTCCAATCTAAATGGAGATGGGAGATATCTTCTGGGGATTTCACCCGCCATCCCTTCCAACCATGCGGCTTAAACACATTATTCCAACTCCGGGCAAAATAAACCTTAGTTTTTTCATACAGCGTTTTCCCCTTTAGGCCCACATTTGTTTTATATATCTACAAATTGGATGTGTTTGAGAAAGGAGGTTGAAATTGAAAGGGAACACAAAAGGATGTGCAAAAATCTGTACAAAAATCCCAAAACAAATTGGAGCTTAGTTGACATAAGGATCTTGAGACTTGACTGTTCTGGTTGATATGCTGTGTGTTTATCTTAGTGTTACAGACGAGCAGACTTAAGTCACAACCATAACGGATAACTACGATGGTATTTGTAGATGACTTGTGTTGAGACTGATGGCAAACACCCATGTTAAGGTATCACTTTTTAAAATGCCAAATTCAAATGTTTTAGGTACAGTACTATGTTCTCCAAAATATGACAATGTAGAGTGAGTAAGGGGGGCCTTCAGAGAAATAATTTCAGATTAAGAAATCGGCTTAAAATATAATAGTTTGTGTTAGAAGGTAGGAACTGTATATCTGCCAGATGTGGTGATGATTTAAGGAGGAAGTCAGAAAGATTGGGGTGGGGGGAGGGGTTGGTAGGAAGCCTTTACCGATATTCCTGTTTCCATGGTTACCCTGAGGCTGTATCTCACGGCAACTGTACTGAGTGAATTACAGATACTTATCTGCAGAGCGATGAACCCTGACCCTTTTACAAAGATAAGAAAGGACAGAGAGGGGGTAGAGATAGGCCACTGTAATGGCAGAGAGAGGGGAAAAAAATAGAAGCAGAGAGAGGAGAGAAAGATAGAAACAGAGAGGATAGAAGCAGAGAGAGGAGAGAAAGATAGAAACAGAGAGAGGAGAGAAAGATAGAAACAGAGAGAGGAGAGAAAGATAGAAGCAGAGAGAGGAGAGAAAGATAGAAGCAGAGAGAGGAGAGAAAGAAGATAGAAACAGAGAGAGGAGAGAAAGATAGAAACAGAGAGAGGAGAGAAAGATAGAAACAGAGAGAGGAGAGAAAGATAGAAGCAGAGAGAGGAGAGAAAGATAGAAGCAGAGAGAGGAGAGAAAGATAGAAGCAGAGAGAGGAGAGAAAGATAGAAGCAGAGAGAGGAGAGAAGAGAGAGAGAAAGATAGAGAAAGAAGAGGAGAGAAAAGATAGAAACAGAGAGAGGAGAGAAAGATGAAAGTAGAAACAGAGAGAGGAGAGAAAGATAGAAACAGAGAGAGGAGAGAAAGATAGAAGCAGAGAGGGAGAGAAAGATAGAAGCAGAGAGAGGAGAGAAAGATAGAAGAGAGAGAGAGAGAGAAAGATAGAAGAGAGAGGAGAGAGGGAGAAAGATAGAAGCAGAGAGAGGGGAGAAAGATAGAAGCAGAGAGAGGGAGAAAGATAGAAGAGAGAGAAGAGGAGAAAAAAGATAGAAACAGAGGAGGGGAAAGATATAACAGAGAGAGGGGAGAAAATAGAAACAGAGAGAGGAGAGAAAGATAGAAGCAGAGAGAGGAGAGAAAGATAGAAACAGAGAGAGGAGAAAAATATAGAAACAGAGAGGAGAGAAAGATAGCAGCAGAGAGAGGAGAGTAAGATAGAAACAGAGAGAGGAGAGAAAGATAGAAACAGAGAGAGGAGAGAAAGATAGAAGCAGAGAGAGGAGAAAAAGATAGAAGCAGAGAGGGGAGAGAAAGATAGAAGCAGAGAGATGGGGAGATAAAATGAGGGAGTGGGTGAGAGAAAGAGAGAGAGAGTGACTGGAGAGCAGGTGTGAGTGCAGATATGAGTGTGATGAAATTAACATGCTGAAATTTGAATTAATTATCTTTCAAGCCAGCCAAGTGTCTGTGTGTGTGTGTGTGTGCGTGCGTGCTGTGCATGTCTGCAAATGTCCGTGTGACTCTACACTTCCTGGAATCTCAGGTCCTCTCATTCGTCTTCTGCTCTCTCAGTAAGTCATGGGTTCCAATAGACCAGACTGACGAAACATGTCCTTGTCACACTAACCATTACTCCTGTACTGACAGAACTCTGAGCACCTTCCATAGAAATATAATTACTAGAAGGGGACATACCGTTCAAGTGAATATTCTGTGGTGGGTGGGCGGCGGCCATATTGGATGTACCCATATGAGTAAAATCTATTTCTCTGATACTTCCTCTCCTTCTTTCTCTTTTTCCCTTCTTCTCTCAACTCATGACCCTGTCGTTCTTCCTGTATCTCCTTTCTATAGGTATGAGCGAGGCATCCTCCATAGTGAACATGCGTAGAGTCACCCACCCTACCGTACGAGAGCCCCTGGCTGGCATCGCCCACCTCCCGTGTGTCTTCACCCTCCAGCCCAGTGAGCCCAGCCCTTCCAGCCAACCTGCCCACATCCAGTGGACCCAAACCTGGATACCGCAGGGTGGCAAGGGGGGTCCCCTGGAGCAGACGGTTCTCTCAGCCAAGGGTAAAGAAAGTAACTTGAATTAAATCCTTTTGCTCTTTGGGGAGCATAGGTAATTCACAAACTTCCTCCATGGGGTTCGGTGTTGAGCAGTTTTCTCCACTTCCTTTAACCTTTTACTCCAGTGGGCTAAATCAGGGTCACTCAGAGTGTTTCTTGGTAGTCTTAAACAAATCTACTTCGAAACAAGAGTATACACCTCATACTCATGGTTATGGGCTTAATACAAGAAAGAAGAGACCTGTACCATGTCAGATATAGAGTTGAAATGTATCCAATTTTGAGTTTTTATCCCAATATTACACTTTATGTACATCACAGAAGACTGACATTTTTCGGCAAAAATAAAGAAGATAATGTTTATTAATTATGAAGTTAAGAAAAATATTAACAACATTCCATGAGGCCACTAGGTAATTTGACTGCAGGAAAAGGGTATGGATGGTCCTGCTTCTTTTAAATTTTAGGTAGTGATTCAATTATATTAGTTTCAATCAACATTGACTTAAACATGCCATATTTGGGTGTTTGTAATACGCTTAATTTGTTATGACAAAATGATTAGAGGGTTATTGTTTTGACAGTTGAAAAGGTCTATAAACTTTCATAGAAAAATTTGTATTTTTTCATTCTTTCCCAAAGGTGATATGGTGAAAGTGAATAAGGCTTTCGCTGGCCGGGTCAGGTTGCTTGGATACGCTGCTAACAACCTAAATGCTACCATGGAGATCTCAGGCCTCCGTAGCAACGACACAGGCACCTACCACTGCCAGATTGTCATTGTAGACGACTACGAGCGAGACATAGTGCCCCTTGTGGTCACAGGTGAGTGGTTTATAGCTGGTGTGATTCAGAAGGTGAGATACCTTCTTTCCCCAATACAATACAATACATCTTGATTGTTCCGAATAGGTATGCAACAATTACAAGAAGTATCGTCTGTGAATTCTTTAGTTTATTTAGTAAAATACTTATGATTTCCACAACCTTGGAGTAAACTTCATCAATACCTCTGAAAGCTAAATGAATCCATACAAGCTCTTTGTCCCTGTAAATGATCATTAATGACACCTAAGAAACCTCAGTGGGAAAATGTGACATCCCAATATTACACTTTATATACATCATAGAAAACTGAAATATAACTAAACTGTTTGACATAGAAACACCGGATTTTCGTCATAAAAAAATAATAATCTTTATTCATAATGAAATTATGAAAAATATGAATAACGTTCCACCCATGAAGCCAAAGAGGGCACTTTTGGTCATTGACTGCAGGAAAGGGCTACTGACCATTGGTCCTTCATATTGAGTATTGGTACAAAGCCTCCTTTTTATATTATTAATCATATAAATATCACAATGATTACTTTCTCCAGTCTTGCTTTTTTCTGCTTCTGTTTGTATTTTCATGATGGGGTTCATATTAACAGGCTAATAGTCCGTAACACTGTAATTAAGTGCATGGATTGAATACCAAGTACAACTGGCCTGTGGCTGTGACTGCTCTTCCATGAAACGCAGCTAAAAACACACAAAGGGTTTCCAATTGATCTGTTCAGAATGAACCTATTTGGTTGCCAAACTGTGTATCTTTATACTCTCTAAAAGTAGGGCTATATCATGCACATCAGATGTATATATATATATATATATATAATAGTAGATACTATTTCATTATTGTCCTTACTGTAGTGTCCTGTTAATTGTTACTACTCATTGAGTATAATTATTTTTCCTATTATTATTATTATTATTGTTATTATTATTATTATTATCTATTTGCGTCATCATTGATTTGATATGTGTCTATATGTTTGCTTTGGCAATGTATGTGGTAATACTTTCCATGCCAATGAAGCCATTTGAATATGAATTTTGTAAGTGCATAGGAATGAACATAAGTGAGAACACATCTCCTGCTTAGAAAATACTCCACATACTGTAACATTTTGGCTACATTCCAATGTTGATATTAGCATCTCATTTAGTGTCTTACACTGCCACATGGAGAGTAACATTTCATTGGGTGACCTTCATGAGTGAATTAACATCCTAATGATCTAATTGCTTGTACAAGCTCCCATCTGTTTGGCTGAGACAAGGACACACTTGGCATCCCAACACAAACCTGTGTGTGGCTGTTTAATGCGGTATGCTGCTGAAACAGCCCCCTTGGGACCCTAGTGAATAGAGTACTTGTTTATTTTTAGTGAATACAGTTACTGTATGTGTGTGTCCTTGTGGTGTTGATCAAGAAAGAAACAGAAGAGGGAGAGGGTGAGAGAGTGAGAAAGAGATAAATAAAGAGAGAGATAAAGAGAGAGATAAAGAGAGAGATAAAGAGAGAGAGAAAGGGAAGTGTGAGAGAGAGAAAGAGAAAGAGAGATAGAGAGAGCAAGAGAGAGAGAGAGAGAGCAAGAGAGAGAGAGAGAGATACTCAATCATGAGGCATCAAAGCCAAAGGAACTGAATAATAGTAAGAAATGCTATAGATGGAAGGAAAATAGTGTCGAAACCTACCAAAAAACAATTAGGCAACAACAAATTCAGTCCATTCTAGACAACTTCCTGGACAAAACGTTCCACTGTAATAGTGAAGGTGTAAACTTGGCAGTAGAAAACCTAAAAAGTATATTTGACCTCTCAGCTTCCCTATCAAATCTAAAAATCTGAAGAATGCAAAAACCTAAGAAAGAAATTGAGAAACCTATCCAACCAAAAACATAGAGACCCAGAAAACCTGAGCCTACGCCTTCACTATGGTGAATCACTAAAACAATACAGAAATACACTACGGAAAAAGAAGGAACAGCATGTCAGAAATCAGCTCAATGTAATTGAAGAATCCATAGACTCTAACCACTTCTGGGAAAATTGGAAAACACTAAACAAACAACAACACGAAGAGCTATCTATCCAAAACGGAGATGTATGGGTAAACCACTTCTCCAATCTTTTTGGCCCTATAACAGAGAACAAACAGCAAAAAATGATCAAATGCAAATCTTAGAATCAACTATTAAAGACTACCAGAACCCACTGGATTCTCCAATTACATTGAATGAACTACAGGACAAAATACAAACCCTCCAGCCCAAAAAGGCATGTGGTGTTGATGGTATCCTCAATGAAATGATAAAATATACAGACCACAAATTCCAATTAGCTATACTTAAACTCTTTAACATCATTCTTAGCTCTGGCATCTTCCCCAATATTTGGAACCAAGGACTGATCACCCCAATCCACAAAAGTGGAGACAAATTTGACCCCAATAACTACCGTGGGATATGCGTACAACAGCAACCTTGGGAAAATCCTCTGCATTATCATTAACAGCAGACTAGTTCATTTCCTCAGTGAAAACAATGTACTGAGCAAATGTCAAATTGCTTCTCATGCTTTGTTGATTTCAAAAAAGCTTTTGACTCAATTTGGCATGAGGGTCTGCTATACAAATTGATGGAAAGTGGGGTTGGGGGAAAAACATACGACATTATAAAATCCATGTACACAAACAACAAGTGTGCGGTTAAAGTTGGCAAAAAACACACACATTTCTTTCCACAGGGCCATGGGGTGAGACAGGGATGCAGTTTAAGCCCCACCCTCTTCAACATATATATCAACGAATTGGCGAGGGCACTAGAACAGTCTGCAGCACCCGGCCTCACCCTACTAGAATCGGAAGTCAAATGTCTACTGTTTGCTGATGATCTGGTGCTTCTGTCACCAACCAAGGAGGGCCTACAGCAGCACCTAGATCTTCTGCACAGATTCTGTCAGACATGGGCCCTGACAGTAAATCTCAGTAAGACAAAAATAATGGTGTTCCAAAAAAGGTCCAGTTGCCAGGACCACAAATACAAATTCCATCTAGACACTGTTGTCCTAGAGCACACAAAAAACGATACATACCTCGGCCTAAACATCAGCGCCACAGGTAACTTCCACAAAGCTGCGAACGATCTTAGAGACAAGGCAAGAAGGGCCTTCTATACCATCAAAAGTAACATAAAATTTGACATACCAATTAGGATCTGGCTAAAAATACTTGAATCAGTTATAGAACCCATTGCCCTTTATGGTTGTGAGGTCTGGGGTCCGCTCACCAACCAAGAATTCACAAAATGGGACAAACACCAAATATAGACTCTGCATGCAGAATTCTGCAAAAATATCCTCAGTGTGCAACGAAAAACACCAAATAATGCATGCAGAGCAGAATTAGACCGATACCCGCTAATTATCAAAATCCAGAAAAGAGCTGTATATAACCACTTAAAAGGAAGCGATTCCCAAACCTTCCACAACAAAGCCATCACCTACAGAGAGATGAACTTGGAGAAGAGTCCCCTAAGTAAGCTGGTCCTGGGGCTCTGTTCACAAACACAAACAGACCCCACATAGCCCCAGGACAACAACACAATTAGACCCAACCAAATCATGAGAAAACAAAAAGAGAATTACTTGACACATTGGAAATAATTAACAAAAAAACAGAGCAAACTAGAATGCTATTTGGCCCTAAACAGAGAGTACACAGTGGCAGAATACCTGACCACTGTGACTGACCCAAACTTAAGGAAAGCTTTGACTATGTACAGACTCAGTGAGCATAGCCTTGCTATTGAGAAAGGCCGCCATAGGCAGACCTGGCTCTCAAGAGAAGACAGGCTATGTGCACACTGCCCACAAAATGAGGTGGAAACTGAGCTGCACTTCTTAACCTCCTGCCAAATGTATGACCATATTAGAGACACATATTTCCCTCAGATTACAGCGATCCACAAAGAATTTGAAAACAAACCCAATTTTGATAAACTCCCTTATCTACTGGGTGAAAAACCACAGTGTGCCATCACAGCTGCAAGATTTGTGACCTGTTGCCACAAGAAAAGGGCAACCAGTGAAGGACAAACACCATTGTAAATACAACCCATATTTATGTTTATTTATTTTCCCATTTGTACTTGAACTATTTGCACATTGTTACAACACTTTATATATACATAATATGACATTTGAAATGGCTTTATTCTTTTGTAACTTCTGAGTGTAATGTTTACTGTTGATATTCATTGTTTATTTCACTTTTGTTTACTATCTACTTCACTTGCTTTGGCAATGTTAACATACGTTTCCCATGCCAATAAAGACCTTAAATTGGAATTGAAATTGAATTGAATTGAGAGAGAGAGAGAGAGAGAGAGAGAGGAAAAGAGTGAGAAAGAGAGAGAGAAAGAAAGGGAGAGAGGGAGAGAGAGAGAGAGAGAGAGAGAGAAAGAGAGAGAGAGAGAGAGAGAGAGAGAGAGAGAGAGAGAGAGAGAGGCAGATAGAGAGGGAGAGAGAGAGATAATGTGTCTGTCCGTCACCTCACCTCTGTGTCTCTCTCCTCAGGTGTGGTATTCCATTACTGGTCTCCTAGAGACCGTTACGCCCTCTCATTTGATGACGCCAAGTGGGCCTGTCAGGAGAACTCCGCCCTCATCGCCACGCCGACCCAGCTGTGGGCAGCGTTCCATGACGGCTACGCCAACTGTGCTGCCGGATGGCTCTCTGACCAGACTGTCCGGTGAGGACACAGACACACAACTCACGGACAAACGCACGCACACACACACACAAACACACACACACACACAGAGCTGCCCCAGTTACACCCAAACACTCACTTATCGAAAAACTCAGACCGCATTCTGTTTGGAGGACAACCATAGTTTGAACATTGGAGTGCAGGCTAGTTTTCTCTGGCTCTGATCCTAATAATGCTATCTCCACAGCTATCCTATCCAGTCACCAGAGCTTGGTTGCTATGGACACCAGGAATACTCGTCTGGTGTGAGGAATTATGGGAAGAGAGACGCTAATGAGATGTTTGATGTCTACTGTTTCGGCAGGGAACTGGATGGTAAGACACACGCACACACACACGCACACACACGCATGCACACAGACACACACACACACACACACAAACACTTCTGAGCTCAGGGCCGGACTACCACATCTAGGCCCCGGGGCACCTACCTCCAGTGGGCCCCCCTCCATCCTGGGGGTAGGTCTCATTTAACACCTGATTTACTTATCAAAAGGCACATCTCAATAGGTGGTCCAGGTAAGTCATGACATAGCACAAGTGTGTGGGGCGGGGGGGGGGGGTGTATTTTACTGTATTTATACTTGGGATGTCACTTTTCAACAAGAAAAGTTCAACAATCACTGGAGGACGTCTTTAAAGTGAATTTCCTGCAATTCTACACATTTGGATATGAGGCTGAGAGAACATTTAGCTGTTTTCAATCAACATTTTCTGCTATTCTATACATTTTGCCATGAGGCTGAGAGAACATTTTGCTGTTTTCAAGCAACATTTTCTGCTATTCTATACATTTTGCCATGAGGCTAAGATAAAATGTTGTAGTTTTAAAGCTAATTTCCTGCAATTCTACACATTTTCCTATGGCTTATGACGTGTTAATGTGCTATCTGGGGGGGGGGGGGCGACTTCCAGGGGGCCCACAACTGACATGTTCATATGTTATCAGGGCACGTGCCCTCCGTACTCATTCGGTAATCTGGCCCGCGTAAGTCACTTTCATAACATTGCCTTGTGAAAGCACAATAAAGATTTCTGATTTAGAACCTCCTGTCTCTCTACCCCCCTCTCTCTTTCTCTCTCTCTCTCTCTCTCTCTCTCTCTCTCTCTCTCTCTCTCTCTCTCTCTCCTCTCTCTCTCTCTCTCTCTCTCTCTCTCTCTCTCTCTCTCTCTCTCTCTCCCTCCCCCTCTCCCCTTCTCTCTATCCAGGTGAGGTGTTTCATTCCTGGGTCCCAGGGCGTCTGTCTCTGTCCTCTGCTTCAGAACTCTGCGTCTCCCTGGGGGGACAGTTGGCCACGGTGGGGCAGCTCTACCTGGCCTGGACGACTGGGCTGGACGTCTGTTCTCCAGGCTGGCTCTCTGATGGCAGCGTCCGCTACCCTATCACCCAGCCCAGGCAGGGCTGTGGAGGGGATCAGCCAGGGGTCCGGACCGTTGTACCCAACACCAATGGAACCACAACCAGCAGCGGATCAACCAATGCTACGGACGCCACACTCCTCTATGACGCATACTGCTACAGAGGTGAGAATAAAGTCCAGATCTGGATTCCAGAAGAGATCAAAAGGTGTAGCTATGACGAATCGCTATGTCATTCAAATTGATTGCTTGTGAAGTAACCATGACGATGCTGTTGCCCACCATTTCCATGGACGTAACGATAGCAACATGGGTGTTGTTCCTGATGATGTTAAAGGCCCAGTGCAGTCAAAAACATGATTTTCCTGTGTTCTATTTATATTTCCACACTATGAGGTTGAAATAATACTGTGAAATTGTGTAAATGATGATAATGCCCTTTTAGTTTAACAGCTGTTTAAAAAGACCTGAAATGTCAGCCTGTTTTGGTGGGATGGAGTTTTGGCCTGCCTGGTGACATCACTAGTGTGATGCGTGATTTGAAGGAGTCAGGCGCAGGAGGGTAAATCACAGTATACAGAGTTTATTCCGTAATCCAGCGTAACCAGTCCAGTGCGCAAAAGAGGCGCACTGGAACAAACATGCACATGGGGGAAATACCCCGGCAATACAAAATACTGAGCTCAACCGAGCACTAATCCTCACAATGAACAATCACCCACAAGGACAAGGGGGGCAGAGGGAACACTTAAACACGTACTAATGAGGGGAATGTGAACCGGTGTATTTAATTGACAAGACAAAACAAATGGAATGATGAGATGAGGAGCGGCAGTGGCTAGAAGGCCGGTGACGACGAACGCTGAAGCCTGCCCGAACAAGGAGGGGAGGCAGCTTCGGAGGAAGTCATGACAGTACCCCCCCCCTTGACGCGCAGCTCCAGCAGCGCGCCAACCCCGGCCTCGGGGACGGCCAGGAGGACGCGGAGCGGGGTGAGCCGGATGGCGATGGTGGAAATCCCACAACAGGGAGGGATCGAGGATATCCCTCACCGGGACACAGCACCGTTCCTCTGGACTGTACCCCTCCCACTCCACGAGGTACTGAAGGCCCCCCACCCAACGCCTCAAATCCAGGATGGAACGGACGGAGTACGCCGGGGCCCCCTCGATGTACAGAGGAGGCGGAGGGACCTCACACACCTCAGACTCCTGGAGCGGACCAGCCACCACCGGCCTGAGGAGAGACACATGAAACGAGGGGTTAATACGGTAATCATGGGGGAGTAATAACCTATAGGTAACCTCGTTGATTCTCCTCAGGACTTTGAACAGCCCCACAAACCGCGGGCTCAGCTTCCAGCAGGGCAGGCGGAGGACCGCAGGAACCTACCCACATCCTGATTTACCCGTTCCACCTGCCCATTAGACACGGGGTGGAAACCAGAGGTCAGGCTGACTGAGACCCCCAGACATTCCATGAACGCCTTCCAGACCTTGGATGTGAACTGGGGACCCCGGTCAGACACTATATCCTCTGGTACCCCGTAGTGCTGGAAAACGTGTGTAAACAGGGCCTCCGCAGTTTGCAGGGCCGTGGGGAGACCGGGCAGAGGAAGGAGGTGGCAGGCCTTGGAAAAGTGGTCCACAACGACCAGGATGGTGGTGTTACCTTGGGAGAGGGGAAGATCGGTAAGGAAATCAACACTCAGGCGAGACCATGGTCGTTGTGGAACTGGTAAAGGTTGTAACTTACCCGCTGGGAGGTGCCTAGGTGCCTTACTCTGGGCGCACACCGAGCAGGAGGAGTAAAACACCCTCACATCCTTAGGTAGGCCACCAGTACTTTCCGGTCAGGCAGCACACTGAACGACCGATACCTGGGTGACCAGAGGAGGGTGACGTGTGTGCCCAGTAGATCAGACGGTCACAGAGAAGAGCAGGCACGTACTGCAGCCCAGCTGGACACTGAGGTGGAGATGGCTCTGTGTGTAACGCCTGCTCTATATCTGCGTCCATCGCTCATACTACCGGCGCCACAATGCAGGAGGCCGGGAGTATGGGGGTGTTGTCTCTGGGCCTCTCCTCTGTGTCATACAGCCATGACAATGCGTCTGCCTTCACATTCTTCGTACCCGGGATGTATGATAGTGTGAAATCAAACCGGGTGAAGAAAAGGGCCCACCTGGCCTGGCGAGGATTCAGCCTCCTCGCTGCCCGGATGTACTCCAGGTTACGGTGGTTCGTCCAGACGAGGAAAGGGTGCTTCGCCCCTTCGAGCCAGTGCCTCCACACGGTCAGGGCTCGGACAACGGCCAGCAGCTCCCGATCACCAACGTTGTAGTTCTGCTCCGCAGGGCTGAGCTTCATAGAGAAGAAGGCACAGGGGCGGAGCTTGGGTGGCATGCCCGAGCGTTGAGATAGGACAGTGTCTATCCCTACCTCGGACGCATCCACCTCCACTACGAACAGTAGTGATGGATCGGGGTGGGCCAGTACCGGGGCTGAGGTGGACAGACCCTTCAGGTTACTGATGGCCCTGTCCGCCTCAGCAGACCAGCGGAGCCGGGACGGCCCACCCTTCAACAGAGATGTAATGGGAGCTGCGACCTTGCCAAAGCCCCGGATAAACCTCCGATAGTAGTTGGCCTGCCTGGTGACATCACCAGTGTGATGCGTGATTTGAAGGAGTCAGGCGCAGGAGGGTAAATCACAGTATACAGAGTTTATTCCGTAATCCAGCGTAACCAGTCCAGTGCGCAAAAGAGGCGCACTGGAACAAACATGCACATGGGGGAAAATACCCCGGCAATACAAAATACTGAGCTCAACCGAGCTACTAATCCTCACAATGAACAATCACCCACAAGGACAAGGGGGGCAGAGGGAACACTTAAACACGTACTAATGAGGGGAATGTGAACCGGTGTGTGTAATTGACAAGACAAAACAAATGGAATGATGAGATATGGAGCGGCAGTGGCTAGAAGGCCGGTGACGACGAACTCCGAAGCCTGCCTGAACAAGGAGAGGAGGCTGCTTCGGAGGAAGTCGTGACAACCAGGCAGTTAATTCATTAATGAATTAGTTAATGTACATTTGACTGCATTGTTAGGAGCTAGCAACATAAGCATTTCACTTCACCACTATAACACCTGCTAAACTGTGTATGTGACCATAAACTTTTATTTTATTTGATCTGATTTGAAGAAAGAGAGTTCCAAACCTCTGCCAATAACAGCTAGTTTTCAGTTTTCCCCTCCCCACTCAGACCACTCCCAGACAGTCCTAGCAAAATTTTTGCTTGAGAAATTGCTCTTTGCTAAGAAGCTATTTTTGTTTCTTTTTGACCATTTTATTTGAAAACAATCACAGTAAGTTACTTAATTGTTACCCAGAAATGATTTGATATTCATATAAAAATGGCTGCATTGGGCCGTTAACCTGTCTCGTTTTTAGAATGGTACTGCTGGATAGACTTCTAGGAAGTGAAAGAGGGCTTTAGAAAGAGATGGGGGAGAGAGATTATTCATTATTAGACATTAATTCATTGCATATACTGTCCGTAAATTCTTGGTCATTGCTCATTCATAGGATTTTACTTGGACATCTGTCCGCTTTCTACTTGAGCTAAAGCATTAGGAATGTGTTTCCGTCATTTAGAATGAAGCTGGACTGAATGAATCATTCAGAATGAAGCTGCACTGAATGAATCCTTCAGATTGAAGCTGCACTGATTGAATCATTCAGAATGAAGCTGGACTGAACTAATCATTAATTGACTCCAATTGTGCCTGACAGGGAATGTGAAAAAGCCAGGCCCCATCTCTAAGATCTACACGTCTTTGTGGAAGCCCTGGAGCCAGCTGACCGGCTCCAGCCACTCAGACACCCGAGGAACAGACAGCCCTGCCCTGGCTGCTGAGACCACCAGCAGCACCCCGACCACCGGTGGGTGTGGAGATGAATGGATAGCTGTAGATGAATGTTGTTGTTCTTTACGTTGTTGAATGGCAACAAGGTTTTTCTTATTGTGATTCTATGAATAATCCTCCTCGCTCTCCCGTAGTCAAAGAGAGCCGTAACCTTTCACCATCTGATGACCTCACACCCTCGAACTGGACCGGATTGGTTGATCTGGAGGAAGAGGCCCACTCTTGTAAGAAACATTATTTGCAACTTAAATTACATCCTATTACTGTAACCATATAGATCACTACTTTTTACCAAAGTTACTGGTTTTGGTTGATTATTGTTACTGTAATCCAGCATGTTTGTCTTCTCAGCCACAGACCCCTGGTTCTCAGAGTCCTCTGAGGGGTATGTCACCCTGCAGCTGAGCCCAGGAGAGAGCTCTCTAGCCTGGGGAGACCTGGGAGACATGGACCCTGACTCTGGAGCTTTCCTCAGACCTCCAGCCACACCTAGCCCCAGCCCAAGTTCTACCACTCAGGAAGAGCTTGCACCCTCTACCCCAGCCCCTACTGACAGAAAGGTTGGTCAGTTTTTACAATATCCGTTGATTGCAAGTACTGAACCATTAAGTACTTTGGCATATTGGCACTTTTTGGGCCCTAGTATTGTTTATTGTATTACAGTGTATTCATTGTATTGGGTGTATGGTGGTCTCTGTCTAAAGGTGATGGCCAAGATAGTGAAGTCCATGTGGAAGCCGTGGAACTACCTGGCAGAAGGTACCCCAGGAACAGGCAGTCCAGAGGGGGAGAAAAGGGGAGCTGCGGTGGGGACTCTGACAGACAGTGTGGCTGTGTCCACCGGCTCTGCTGCTCCAGGTTAGTGCATTTTTCTTTATTGTGGTTGGGATACTGAGATGTACAGCTAGAGAGTAATGTATCATCATTTAGCTTTTATTCAAAATAACTTATAGTCATGCGTGCATACATTTTACATACGGGTGGTCCAGGAAATTGAACCCACTATCTGGGCATTGCAAGCACCATGCTCTACCAACTGAGCTATAGAGGACCATAGAGAAAGAGAGAGTGTGTTTGTGAGTGTGTGTGCACGTTCATCTGGGTCAAAAACTGTCTGGGTTCAATAAGGACTGGCCTTTTCAGTAGTCTAGGCTTCATTAATACAGATATGTTCTCTGGCCCCTTTCAGCCCACAGGCATAAATGTTTCTTGTGGTAAGAGGTCACAAATCTTGTTGCTGTGATGGCACACTGTGGTATTTCATCCAATATATATGGGAGTTGATCAAAATTGGATATGTTTTCAAATTCTTTGTGGCTCTGTGTAATCTGAGGGAAATATGTGTCTCTAATATGGTCATACATTTGGCAGGAGGTTAGGAAGTGCAGCTCAGTCTCCACCTCATTTTGTGAGCAGTGTGCACATAGTCTGTCTTCTCTTGAGAGCCAGGTCTGCCTATGGCGGCCTTTCTCAATAGCAAGGCTATGCTCACTGAGTCTGTACATAATCAAAGCTTTCCTTAAGTTTGGGTCAGTCACAGTGGTCAGGTATTCCAAATAGTATTTTTTGTTAATTCTTTCCAATGTGTCAAGGAAATATTACATTTACATTTACATCATTTAGCAGACACTCTTATCCAGAGTGACTTACAAATTGGTGCATTCAACTTATGATAGACAGTGGGACAACCACTTTTTTTTAATGTTTTATTTTATTTTTGGGGGGGTGGGGGAAGAAGGATTACTTTATACTATTTTATATCTTATTTTATTTAATAATAATAATAATTAGGGGGTAGATCAGCTTTAATATTGCAGATAGATTGTAACTTCCATCAATGTAATTGTCAGCATCACTTCCGATCCCCCATATATTTTTCACTAATGTATATATACATATACATACATACACATACATACAGTACCAGTCAAATGTTTGGGCACACCTACTCATTCCAGGGGTTTTCTTTATTTTTACTATTTTCTACATTGTAGAATAATAGTGAAGACATCAAAACTATGAAATAACACATATGGAATCATGTAGTAACCAAAAAAGTGTTAAACAAATCAAAATAAATTTTATATTTGAGATTCTTCAAATAGCCACCCTTTGCCTTGATGACAGCTTTGCACACTCTTGGCATTCTCTCAACCAGCTTCACCTGGAATGCTTTTCCAACAGTCTTAAAGGAGTTACCACATATGCTGAGCACTTGTTGGCTGCTTTTCCTTCACTCTGCGGTCCAACTCGTCCCAAACCATCTCAATTGGGTTGAGGTCGGGGTATTGTGGAGGCCAGGTCATCTGATGCAGCACTCCATCACTCTCCATCTTGGTAAAATAGCCCTTACACAGCCTGGAGGTGTGTTGGGTCATTGTCCTGTTGAAAAACAGATGATGTTGAGGATAATTATCATTATACTTGTTAAAAATCAAAAGTTCTTCCAGAGTTTTTGTAGAATGAAGATATACCTTTATTACACAAAGTAACGAAAAGCCGAGATGGTCTGCAGAACACCTGTTTTCCCTGACTAGGAGCTCTCCTTTTATACAGACACAGTTACTCCATTATATGTACATGATTAACATCCTTCAGTGTCACATGTTATTTACTCACGAGGGCTACGTGCGCTTCTCTAAATGGGGCCTCTTATCTCATTATATTGGTGGCGTGACTCCAAAAATTATATACATGCGTACGTTAAAGAACAATCACACTCTGTATTGACTATATTCACTATCCAGGCATGCATCTGGAGTACAAAGTATCAATCATGTTCATTCTTTTTTAACCTTATCATTTCATAACACATTATAAAACATAACAATCAATACTTAAACATGGTTTAAACATGTCATGTCCACATCCCATTCTCAACCACATACATTTAAGCCTTTCCAAACAGCCATCCTCCCAGGACCCTGAGCCACTATGTTTTTTCCTTTTGACTATGTGCATGTGGCTATGTGTGTCAGGTTATAAGCACAAACAAGTGATAACACTAGTTCCATTGTTCCTTCCATCTCCACACAGCTACAACGATACGTTTTATCTCCATCACATGTCATTGCCATACCCAGACCAGCTGCAGGGAGCTAGAGGGAACCATCCATTATCAGAAGCACATCATTTGCACTAAAGAAATGTCTCTGCTCTGTTTTAACCCTTTAATTGGTTCTTAATCCATAAGCATTTAAGGCATATAGGCGTTTCATTCTACAACATGTATAATTAACATAATTGGTTTTTATGTTGTCCACCCCTAAGTGAGATAGAGTAGTTAACCAAAAATTCCCCACAATGATAGTCCCACTAAGCCCAAACCAGATTGGATGGCGAATCACTGCAGAATGCTGTGGTAGCCATGCTGGTTAAGTGTGTCTTGAATTCTAAATAAATCACAGAGCAAAGCACCCCCACACCATAACACCTCCTCCTCCATGCTTTACGGTGGGAAATACACATGCGGAGATCATCTGTTCACCCACACCGCTTCTCACAAAGCCACGGCGGTTGGAACCAAAAACTTCCAATTTGGAGACCAGACCAAAGGACAAATTTCCACCGGTCTAATGTCCATTGATCGTGTTTCTTGGCCCAAGCAAGTCTCTTCTTCTTATTGGTGTCCTTTAGTAGTGGTTTCTTTGCAGCAATTCGACCATGAAGGCCTGATTCACACAGTCTCCTCTGAACAGTTGATGTTGAGATGTGTCTGTTACTTGAACTCTGTGAAGTATTTATTTGGGCTGCAATTTCTGAGGCTGGTAACTCTAATGAACTTATCCTCTGCAGCAGAGGTAACTCTGGGTCTTCCATTCCTGTTGCGGTCCTCATGAGAGCCAGTTTCATCATAGCGCTTGATGCTTTTTGCGACTGCACTTGAAGAAACTTTCAAAGTTCTTGAAATGTTCAATATTGACTGACCTTCATGTCTTAAAGTAATGATGGACTGTTGTTTCTCTTTGCTTATTTGAGCTGTTCGTGGCATAATATGGATTTGGTATTTTACCAAATAGGGCTATCTTCTGTATATATCTTCTGTAGGGGGGCTACCTTGTCACAAAACTACTGATTGGCTCAAATGCATTTTAGAAGGAAATAAATTCCACAAATTAACTTTTAAGAAGGCACACCTGTTAATTTAAATGCATTCCAGGTGACTATCTCATGAAGCTGGTTGAGAGATTGCCAAGAGTGTGCAAAGCTGTCATCAAGGCAAAGGGTGGCTATTTGAAGAATCTCAAATATAAAATATATTCTGATTTGTTTAACACTTTTTTGGTTACTACATGATTCCATATGTGTTATTTCATAGTTTTGATGTCTTCACTATTATTCTACAATGTAAAAAAGTGTAAAACTAAAGAAAAACCCTTGAATGAGTAGGTGTTTTCAAACATTTGACTGCTAGAGTACATACATACATACATACATACATATATAAATACAGACAGTACATATAGACATACATACATACACAAACAGGCGCCTCACAGGTCTTTAACTGGCAGCTTCATTAAATAGTACCTGCAAATCACCAGTCTCAATGTCAACAGTGAAGAGGCGACCTAGGCAGAGTTGCAAAGAAAAAGCCATAGCTCAGACTGCCCATCTTAATCTTTTCTTTTTATTGGCCAGTTTGAGATATGGCTTTTTCTTTGCAACTCTGCCTAGAAGGTCAGCATTCCGGAGTCGCCTCTTCACTGTTGACGTTGAGACTGGTGTTTTGCGGGTACTATTTAATGAAGCTGCCAGTTGAGGACCTATGAGGTGCCTGTTTCTCAAACTAGACACTCTAATGTATTTGTCCTCTTGCTCAGTTGTGCACCGCGGCCTCCCACTCCTCTTTCTATTCTGGTTAGAGCCAATTTGCGTTGTTCTGTGAAAGGAGTAGTACACAGCGTTGTACGAGATCTTCAGTTTCTTGGAAATTTCTCGCATGGAATAGCCTTCATTTCTCAGAACAAGAATAGACTGACGAGTTTCAGAAGAAAGTTATTTGTTTCTGGACATTTTGAGTCTGTAATCGAACCCACAATTGCTGATGCTCCAGATACTCAACTAGTCTCAAGAAGGCCAGTTTATTGCTTCTTTAATCAGCACGACAGTTTTCAGCTGTGCTAACATAATTGCAAAAGGGTTTTCTAATGATCAATTATTATTTTAAAATAAAAACTTGGAATAAAAAACACAACGTGCCATTGGAACACAGGACTGATGGTTGCTGATAATGAGCCTCTGTACGCCTATGTAGATATTCCATTAAAAAATCAGCCGTTTCCAGCTACAATAGCCATTTACAACATTAACAATGTCTACACTGTATTTCTGATCAATTTGATGTTATTTTAATGGACAACAAATGTGCTTTTCTTTCGAAAACAAATACATTTCTAAGTGACCCCAAACTTTTGAACGGTAGTGTACATTTTATGGACACAGTCAATTTTACAATAGTTCTATATTGTTTGTTTTTACTCCTGAACTTCCTCTACCCTCAAGCTCTCAGATTATTTTCATGATGTCCATTTTGGTTACTCTTTCACAAAAGTTCTTAACCTGTAGCCTATATACTTATTATGGACACAGTATGTTTTACATTAGTTATCTTATTGTAATTAGTTGTTATTAGTCCCACCCTTCAGCTCCATTCAACCCCTCCCATATATCTCTTAACACCATCCATATTGGATTTCTATTTGCCATATATTTTTCAACTTTGCTGTGATGATTCACAAAAGCTCTGAACCTTTCTATTCTCATTGTTTCTACAGATTGTAAATAGAAAATAAACATTTTTGCT